ATACGTTAGTAATTTTCTCTATAAAGTTCAAAGCATTTAATCTAATTAATTGTGAATTGAGAATTCCGTAATTACAATATTGATAACACTAAATAAAAAAAGCGAGAATCAACTAGTATTTAATTATACATTACATTAGCATTTAGAAAAAATAATATAAAATTAGAAAATTTCTGAAAATACAAACAAATAACTAAATAAGAAGATAAAAATCATAGGCATATAGAATTAACTATAGAACCTGGAGCGTAGAAGCCTAGAAATATTAGTCAAACTGCCCAAGGGAAAACAAATAAAAAAATAACTAGAAAATACATATGTATAATACTAATAAATATAAAATTTTGGGCCCCTAATTTTTACAAATTTTTGGGGCCCTGAGGCCCATGCCTCTCCAGCCTTACATAAGGCACGGCCCTGGATGGGATCATAGGAGTTTGTTTTTGTCTATATAGTTCCCTCACCCCTTTATAGGTATATATCAATTATTATGTCCTAATATTTATTTGGAGTCTATCATAAGTGCGGGGTACCCTCAAGTAGTTCTAGGATATCCCTTTTCATTAAACTTGCTATTTTTAGTAAGTTGGGCCTGAAGTGATACTTGGGTTGTCTAGCCTTTCTTATTGGGTCCCAAATGGCTTAGGAGCTCTCATTCATTTTATGTCGGCTCATATAACTAATAAGTTGGCCCAATTAAGTATTTGTTAGTCCACCCTTATAGTACAGGCCCGATTCATATTTTAATTAATTTAATTAATCATTAACCATATAACATGTAACACTTGGGATTAATTTAAAAGGATTAATAGTACTACTCATACCACCAAGATGCGTCTCCTTTTAAGGGAGCTTATCACCTAATAACTCCAAGTCAAGCATGCTTGCACGGGAGTAGACTCTGGGGATGGGTGACCCCCTGGGAAGTTTCTCAGGGCGCTCACGAGTGAGGACAAACTGTGCGTTAAAAGCTCGTGGAGGTTTGTGAGGACGGTACTGAAGGCCCGGAGTAACTACCCCGGGTCCTGCGGGGCCGGGGTGTTACAGGTGGTATCAAAGTAACCCTGCGACAGTGTGTTGATCCGTTGGATATCGGGCGGGCACTTAGCAGGGGAAGATTTCGGGATTGATTGAGATTAAGTTGGCTTATGGGGGCAACAAGGACGTTGCGATCCTAAGTGGGGGTGATTGTAACGCTTGAGATTAATTTAAAATGATTAATAGTACTACTCATAGCAACAAGATGCATCTCCTTTTAAGGGAGCTCATCACTTAAGAACTCCAAGTTAAGCGTGCTTGCATGGGAGTCGTCTGAGTGACCCCTTGGAAAGTTTCTTAGGGCACGCACGAGTGAGGACAAACTACGCGTTAAAGGCTTGTGGAGGTTTATGAGGACAGTACTAGAGTTTGGAGTAACTACCTCGGGTTTCCGCGGGGCCGTGGCATTACATAACACATGTTTAATAGTATGGAGTTCTCGAGTACATGGAATGAATTTTAAAACAAAGTTTCAAGTATGCTCAGGTGCGGTGTCACACGTTCACTTAACGGGAATTTCGTCCCTGAAATTCACAACGCTACTCAAATAGAAATACATATTGCTCCCTCATCAAAACTTCAATTTCTCAAGTCTCCTCTTCGACTCGATCACTCTTCCAAAGGATTTTAACTTTCGGAACATCTTTACTCCTCATTTTCTTAAGTTGTCTATCAATGATCTTTATTGGTTGCACGACATAGTTCAATCCTCGCGTATCTTCACATGCGACTTCCGTAATACATGAGAGGGGTCATGTACATATTTTTAAGCATAGATACATGGAACACATTATGTATGATGTATCTACTCTAAATCCGGAGTCAACTGTAAACGATATGCTATGGTCCCAATTCTCTCTAGAATTCTGAATGGTCGTATGTAGCGTGGGTTAAGCTTCCCCTTACTTTGGAATCAGATGATTCCTTTTCATGGAGAAACCTTAAGAAACACCTCATCATCAACCTTAAACTCTAAGGTTTTCCGATGCTTATCGGCATAACTTTTCTGTCTATCCTGAGATGTTTTAAGCCTCTCTCGAATCAGCTACACCATTGACTTGGTGATTTCTACCAACTCAGTACCCTCGAGTTTGGTCATGCCAACCTCATCCCAGCATAATGGTGTACGACACCTCCTCCCATACAATGCTTCGTATGGAGTCATGTCGATACTTGCCTGATAAATGTTGTTGTAAGCAAACTCCACAAGTGCTAAGTGTTTATCCCAACTCCCATGGAACTTCAATGCACAAGCCCTCAGCATATCCTTTAAGATCTGTATAACTCTCACAGACTATCCATCTGTCTGTGGATAGAAAGTGGTGTTAAACTTCAACCTCGTTCTCATAGACTCTTGAAATTTTGGCCAAAAACGTGATGTGAATCATGAGTCTCTATCATAGACAATGGTTACCGCAACCCCATGTAGCCTCACGATCTCATCCGTATACAATTTGGCTAACCTCTCAAGTGGGTAGGTAGTGTTGATATGTAAGAAGTGTGCACTCTTTGTGAGCCTATCAACAACAAACCCAAACTGCATCGTAGTCCTTAATTATTCATGGTAAGCCTACCACGAAATCCATAGTCATGTGTTCCCACTTCCACTCAGGGATGGAAAGTGGTTGCAACAGGTCTGATGAATGCTGATGTTTTCTACCTTGACTTGCTGACAAGTAAGACATCGACTGATGTACTAAGCCATCTCCCTCTTCAACAAGTAAGACGTTCGGGGGGGGGGGCATACTTGAAATGTTTGTCGCCCGTTTTAGCAGCTGCAGTGATGGAGGAAATCCATGAGGGGATATGTTCCAGCCACCAGGGTCCGTGCACATTAGCCAGGAAGATAATTTTCCAAGCGTACTACTGGTCAACTATTCAACAAGATTGCTTTAATCACATCCAAAAGTGTGTTGTATGCCAGCAGTACGCCCCAGTCTCTGGTCGGTCAGTTTTAATTCACCAATGACTATCTCGTTGTCATTTGCAAGATAGGGAATTGATATGCTCGGGTCGTTGTTTACGACGTCTGACGGGAGACAGTTCATCATTGTGGGGATAGACTACTTCACCAAATGGGTGGAAACTGGGCCCTCGGAAAATATCACAGAGTACCAATGTCAGCGTTTCGTTTGGCATATCTTATCCCGCTTTGGAATCCATGAGCAGATTATCACTGACAACGACTGCCAATTTACTGGCAAAGATTTTGAGAGATTCCTAACGAAATGGGGGCATTCGACATTCCAAAGCCTCAGTGGCCTACCCTCAGGCCAACTGATAGGTGGAATCAAGAAGAAACTCGATGATTATTCCTCCACCTGGTCGGGTCAATTGAATTACATCTTGTGGAAGTAACGACGACCCCGAGAACAGCCACTGAGGAAACGTTGTTCGCTCTGGCATACGGTTTCCAGGCCAAAGTTCCTGCTGAAGTGTTGGTGCCTACACATATGGTGGTGCTTTACCAGCCCGAGCACAATGAGGAAACCATGTGTGTCGAGTTACATTTCATCAAGGAGCGTAAGGATTTAGCCGATTGATGCATGGAAGAATATCATTGGGCCACTCAACACTACTTCGATAAGCCAGTGAAAGTACGAGCCCTCAAAGTGGGGGACTTGATGCTGAGGAAAAAGGAAAAGAGCAAGCCCCTCGAAGGAGGCAAGATGGCCGAAAGTTGGGAAGGATAGTACAAGGTGTGGTGCAAGTTCACACAAAGAACCTTCACCTTGCAAACCACCACAGGTCGCCCTGTGTGAGATAAGCTCTCATATATACTTCCTTATTATGTCCTGGTCATGCTCGTAACATTAGAAGTAGAGGGCTTGTGTTGGGGTAATTGGCCCCATACGGGTTCGGCCCAATACCCCACAACGAAAAGGGGATCAAGGGTAGCGGCCCATCAGAAGGCTCATGCAACGCTCGTCGAGCCTCACGCAACGCTCGTCCCCTATACCTTAGTTCGTTTGGGCTAGGTAGTCAACAGAGGCCTCATGTGGGACGCTCGGCAGGCGCCTAGCGGCTTCCTTGCCTTGCCCTTACTTGGCTCAGGGATCATGGAGGCCTCAAATAGGAATGCCCAAAATATTTGGCGGGAAAACAAGAATGTTGGAGGAAAACGCATCAAATGCACCAGATATGCAAGATTTGGTGGTTGGAATGATAGCCACTCATGATCTTCCATATCACGCTACTACTTACCACATGATAGTACAAATATCAGCATATATTTCATTAGCCTCTATTCTTTGTACTCATAGCTCAGATCAGACATTTGGTCTCGATTGTTAGAACGGTGTGCTGCAATTGTTCGTTATTGTCTAATAAGAACTTGGTCCACTTATTGTCTTCCTCTTATTGCTAAACACATGTGCCTTCATACTCACATAACACACTAAATACCCATCAAAACTCAATGGAACCTGTTGATCCTTGGAATTGAAGGAATTGACTTCAACATTAAACTATAAGAAGTATAAGATTGAAACTCAAATTAATATTAGAAAATAATATAACTTTGATATGCACATGTAGCTACATATTAAAATACCCGATTATTTAGGGGTGATAAAAAAATTGTTTAGGGCGAGGAAAGTGTAACACTTTCGGACAATAATAAATGCTCTGGTTATATGATACGGAATATTCCGTACTACACTACTTTTAACTTACTCCGTGTTTCATACGGAGTACTGTATATTTTTTAATATGTGCAGAAATATTTAAAACAATATTTGATGGGGAAAAAATGATGTTAGGCAGTGAATTTTCCACTAAAAAGATCAAACCACATTTAACGAGCAAAAGAAACAGAAACCCAATCATTAGCTACTCCTAACCTATATCCTACGGAGTATTATATGCATTTCCCAAAAACCGAAATCCTAGAAATCAAACTCCAACCCATAAATTACTGTAATTTTGACATCATTAGGGAATATTACAAAGTATGTTTTCCACGAAATGTCGGTTGGATTGTGGGGGTGGGGAGGGTAGGATTAGGACGCGGAAGAAATCCAAATCCCGTGATTGACTCCTCTCCTCCATTTGCCTCGTGCTCATCAAAACCGACCTTTCTTAACCGCTGTGAAGCACCGTTTTTTACAGTTTCCTCGATCCCACTCCCAAAAACTCCTACAGATCTATCTGGTTGTTCAAAGCTTGCTGCAATGAAGAATGCAGCTCTGAGTCGTTGACAGGTACTTTATTGCTATCAATGAAGAATTCACCTTGTTTCTTTTCAAGCAGTATTTTTTCAAACTTTTTCCCCTGATATTATTTGAGATAGCTATTGATGTGATCAGTGCTTGCGCTGTTGTACATGTGTTGTTAATCTTTCGATCAGAGCTTAGACTCTTAGTGGCCAATTTAGTGGGCGGATTGAGTGATAACAAATGTGAGGTCAATAATGTGGTGGGAAATTGGGATTTTAAACTGGCACTTGATATTAAGCATCTATTTTCAGGATTGTGAGCCATTCTAGTTAAAGTTCGAAACTTTACTGAAAATCATAAACGAGCCTGCAAGTTAGAATACTTTTATTAACCATGTAGGAAGAGTAGGCCAAACCGTTGAGTTTGCATCTATGATCTATATTTGGTCGGTGTGGAATGACTTGACCATATGTATTCAATACATTTGAGGAGGTTTTAGTTATGGGGATCACTGGGCTTGAGGAACATAGTAGCATTTCATGTTTTGCTTGTTTGATCATTCTTGATGTTTATCTTTTCCAGGCGTTAACTTGGTCTAATAACTGAAGCAGCTATTGTCATGGGAGTCTCAGTGAAATGGATCAGAGCACTAATCGGTTTCAAAAGATCCGAAAAGTCAATTTCCTATGAGAAAGATGAAAGTGTGAGTAATACTTTTTTGGTAGTGCTTTTAGTGTTCAAGAAACCAAAATGACTATAATTATTACATTATTAATTGTAGAAGTCTGGGGGCACGAAAAAGCCTGGGCATAGGAGAAAGCATTCTGCTGTTGAGATAGATAGAGAACTACTTTGCAACGATCTGAGCCATAATAATGATGATGCTTCTGCGTCAGTTGAAGATGTGAATGTTGCTTCAGTTCCTATTGCTTCTTCACCTTCGACCTCACATCAAAATCAGAATGCAAGTCAAGTTCCTCTGAATATTAGACAAGAATGGCGGGCAGCCATTCGTATTCAAACTGCTTTTAGAGGATTTCTGGTACTCAATTGGCTATTAGCTAGTTTACTCTTTACTCTTTTTGGTTGATACTAGCTCATTTTACAAACATTTCTTCTCATTAATTGAACATAGATATGGTCTCTCGACTATACAATATTCTAATAAGTTAATAAGAACATGTTATTCTGTTGAAGACTAAACTGGGTCCAAATTACATAATCAAGAGCCAAATTGATCACAAAATGGGATTAACTTAAGCAAAGGGACAAATTACCCTTCTTATTTAGAACTAAATATGTATGAGAATTAAGTTGCGTCAAGATGTTATGGTTGAGGCCCAATTTGAGTCCAATAGTGGATCGTGTATAGTGGAGTGACTAAATTGGGCATCAAGTCATCAACAAAATATGAAATTTATTTGAATCTCAAATCATAAATTTACTTTTGAAAAATTTGGGCCATTGGGTGATTTTTAAACATGGTAACTTCAAGGCTAGGAGAGCTCTACGAGCTTTGAAGGGGTTGGTGAGACTTCAAGCACTTGCTAGAGGCCATGCTGTGAGAAAACAAGCTGATATTGCCCTCCATTGTATGCAAGCTCTTGTTAGGGTCCAGGCACGTGTTCGGGCACGGCGTGTTCATGAGGCCTTAGAAAGTCAAGAGGTGCCACCTAAGCTGCACCAAGAAGATCTAAAGCAACACGATGCTAGTGTTCGGGAAGTAGAAGTAAACATTTTTATATTGATTAATGTCGCAAATATGATAGTGTTAGTTTAACATGGGGTATCTATCACCTTCAGTTATCTTTTAACTCTTGAAGTCTGTCTCAAATCACAGGAAGGTTGGTGTGACAGTATTGGGTCTGTGGAAGAAATTCAAGCCAAGTTGTTAAAGAGGCATGAGGCAGCAGCAAAGCGTGAAAGGGCAATAGCATATGCTATGGCTCATCAGGTCGACATTCCATATCACTTTTAGTAATGCTGGATCATATTTTTCAAATGTTTTATCTTCTCTTCCATTGATAAGTGCAAAGGCCTTGAAGACATCTTATATTTCTACTGTTTCTATTACTAAAAATATTAGTAAAATTAGAGTTGTGATCAAAATTGTAATTAAAAAATGTATAAATTAATACGTAGTAATAATGATTAAAGCGTCCCACAGCTTATTTATTTGAATTATACTCCTGAGCATATAAAAATTTGGGCATATAAAAGCTGAATACACTATTACTTTGGTTAGATTGCCTACATTTTTTTATTTCTCTATCTCAAAAACATATGTCTGCTGTGACAATGATTACAGTGGCAGGCAAGACCTAAGCAGCAACCAGCTGGTGTTGAACGGGACACTAGTAGTGACTGGGGCTTGAATTGGTTGGAGAGATGGATGGCTGTGCGGCCCTGGGAAAATCGGGTTCAAGACACTAATCACAGAGATGGAGCAACTTTGCGTGATAACAAACCTGCAGATTCAAATAATGGCACCAAGAACCAGGTGAAAAAATCTGTTCAGATCATCAAACCAAATTCTAAAGAAAATATGGGTCCATCCTCCTATTCAAGCTCTAACAAGTCACTAGAAGCTGGTACAAGATCAAAGAGCAATCCCAAAGAGAGATTCACGCACCCTTCTTATATACAACAAGGAAATAATAAGAGATTATCTCTTCCTATTAGCCGTTAGTACCTTTTCCTCCCGCCAGCTTTTTCTTTTGCATTCCCTTCTAGCCTACTATGCAACGATGTGTGTGTTTGGTAGCCTTGTGTTTTAGCTTACCATTCTTAATTTCGTATCAACCAGATTTTTTACTGAACATCAACTACCAAATAGTACAAACAATGAAAGAAATGACCTTTCTTTCATGCACTGAATTTGTTAATAATGAAAAAAAGTAAGGCTGAAGGTATTTTTTTTGCTGAATTTGTTTAAGATGCCCATTGTAGCTTTGTGTTCATATACTCCGTAGTTCTTTATTAATTAAAAATATTGTATATACACCCTCTGCTTTTATTTTATTGCTTTGTATTTCCTTTTGAAATATTTTTGTATTAATGGCTCAATTACCTAATTTGGCAAGTCTTATCCTTACACCCTTACTTTTCATTGCCCCTCTTATTTTTTCTACTTCATCTTCTCTTTCTTATTATTCGCTACCCCTGTTATATTTTCCTTGAAAACCACACTTGAACATTTAAAAGGAGCACTGGGAGACTGGGAACATAGTTTTAAATAATTTCAGCAAATTCAGCTGTACCTTCATTTTGGCCACTTTTAGTCCTATCACACAAATCTTTCACGTGTCCTCACTTTACCAGGGAAAAATCATGATGAACAAAGAACAAAACGAGGCAGTCGAGCTACTACAGAGAAGCCCATGGATGAAAAAACCGCATGGAACAGAAATGGTGCAATGGCCACAACATTTGTTTCCCATGATTAGCATTTTTTCATTGTTTTTTAATGTCAATATCCCATCCGAGTGGGGCGCTCTAGTGTGTAAATACAGCCACCTGGTGTTTAGTGTGGCTATATTTGATCATATGTATGAAATTATGAATTAGATATCTTAGGCTAATTAGATCAACTCAGAGTGTTATTATGTAACTTCCTCAATGTAAATTTGTAAAAATGGTTCAATCTTTAATCTATACAATTTCTTTAAAACTAAGATTAGTTGATTTATTTATTCAAGTTGCAATATATTTTTTATTCTTAGGAGAATGCTACTCTTTTGTTGGGGTGAACACTTCAGTTCAGTGTTGCTAAACCGAGTCAAACTAAAATCGGAATATATGTAATTTGATTTGGGTTTGGTCAGTGATAACAGTTTCATGAAAAACATTAGATCACATAAAAATTGAAACAAACCAAGTTATTAAAACACACTGAAAACATGATATACTTAGCAAACCTCAACCAAAACGCATAAAAAAGTTTTATCTAAATCAAAATGCACAACAGTTTCATTTCCTTTTGACAGTGATCTACCTGACCTGATATAAACCAGGCCAAAGCGGATAAAATGTTTGCAGTCCGTGTATGAGGGGACAAGAAAGTGGACTCTTCTGGGAGTATACAAATTACAAATGAAGTGGATATAAATGTGCAGTCCATGTATGTGGGGACAAGAAAGGTGGACTCTTCTTGGAGTATACAAATGTCCATGAGCTTTTGGAGTATATTAGAATTCATTAAAAGAACTAGATGATGTCCATCCAAGCTTTTACAGTCAACTTTCAAATATGACCTGGAAAGCGCTGTGCGGCCAAGTTATGAGGTAACACTACTGAAGCCAAAGTAGAGAGTTCTCTGTCGAAATGCATTGACAGCGCAGTCCAACTGAAAATGGCCTAACTGAGATTTTAAACGAAAGCCATAACCAATGCCAACTCCACACCCCGGTTTGCCATGTCTTAAAGTAGGATACCCTATAAACATTAATTAGTAACAAAATATCAGCTTGGGCTCTTCAGTTCAAAGGAAGATTCCCTCTGAATTATTGAGACTGCCCATCTTACACTCCAAAACAACTAATCATAATTTGGCCTCTTTTTTCCGTGTTCTTACCTATCTTTATGTTAGTTACTGATACACATATCTTCAATAATCATTATTAAACTCAATAAAGATTTCATTGGAAAAATGAAAAATAATCTTAAAAATAAAAAAAATATACAAAATTCATGATTTATTGAAGTCTTGGGATCGGAAGTTTCAATCAAACATGGATTTGAAACATAAAACGAGACATTAGTTTAATCTATTATAATGGTCATTTCCTGTGATGTGTAATGTAACTAACCAGGAACATGACGACCAGAGCCCATATCAGTTCCACAATCCAAGAAAACCACACCATCTAGCATTTCCCTCTGCATGCAAACACGAAAATTATTCAATAGACAATAGAATGAATTAATACTCCAAATCCTCATTCCCCTTGGTTTTACTGTTGCACCAAAAGAACAAACAACATGAAAAATCCACCAAAATGTCAAATTCAGTAATATATCCTCCCCACCTTAGCTTAAACCCCATTCAATTGAAAGAACACATACCAAAGGAAATGTCACTTCACTCTTAGAAACCAGGCATGATCTACCGGATCCAATAGCTCCTTCCCCGTAACCTCTCACACTATCAACTCCTCCAATTGCAAAAGCTTGGTAAGGAGCTATGTCCCCCACGATAGATCCACCTTTAAGTCTATCAGATGATAAGAGTCATAATCTCTTAGAATGCAACGATGTTCTATAAAGCCATAATTAGAAAATTTACCCAAAATGAAGAATATCCTAGCAGATACAGTTAATAGTTGTATATCTTCCTTCAATGTGACAAATAATAGTAAACATTGGTCCCTTTTGGTGCACTACTAGTCATGAAAGTTATCTACCAACCTTGTCAAGAGAAATGCTGGCCCAAATTTTACTCCCTTTGATGCAACAAACTTGAAACGGTTAAAGATCAGCCACTGCGAAAGAATGGGAATCCCTTGCTCTATTTGCAGGCTAAACTGGGAAAGGGAAAGGGGAATCTAGGAATATTTATGAAATGGTGAAAAATATATGATTAAAAAATAGACAAAAATGTAACTTTTACAGAGCTTTAAATATGGCCATGTTCCATTTCACTATACAGTGACTAATTTTCACCATGACTGTAGTGACTATAAAGTCATATTTTTGCCCATGAACTTTGTTTTAATAATATTATAGGGAAAACCCCAAAATTTATAAAATGTTGTGCACTCGAATTGCAATTAAATTACGAGAACATAGACACAAGATATAAAGTCACATTACTTCTGTTAAACTTTGATCATTTGCCTTGGCGAACCTGGATTCTTGTTTTAGCACCACCATTCTATCATTACATCCACCACTGCGAACAAGGATTAAGACACATGAGGCTAAATCAAAGAGACTCATAACCACAGTCCACACACAACTTCTTTTACCTGCAAGTGACTGGATACCCTTGAAAATCTCTGCTTATTGATCGGCCATCATCGCCTACTGGACGAACATGCTGTAAGTTAAAGTTAAAATTAGTTATTAAGGCACATATGATCTTGAAACTTAATATGTAAAAATACAATGCAGACACTGACCTCAAACCTGATACTAGTTTTGCTGCTCCAGTTGGAACTTGCAGGCTCACTCAAATCTAAAGCAGCAGAAAATCGACATAAGTTCACTCCACCGCTTTCGGAACGAGAGAAGTTGTCCACAGGAATTCCATGGACCCCAATCTCTGGAGAGACTAAATGCTGAGTGAACAATAAAAGTCAGGTCAAATTTATTAATTTCAGGGATTAGATTATAAGATACTGATTCAATTGTATATCAATTTCTCTATTTTCCAAGAGAACGGATAACAAAAAGATGCAAACCTGAACTATAAAGGATGGTTGGGAAAGCCATTCAGGTCGCGGCTTCCTGTAAGCTATTCTGATATTAGAATCATAGAGTCCTTTATCACACAGAACATCAAGCTTCTCGCTCTTGCCAAATAAGTTTGGATGTTTTATGCAAAGGCTACACAAAAGAAAGATTTTTTTGCGAAACATTATTGGAAAAGCCAATTTGATTCAGAAGAAAACATAAACAAAAAGATCGCAATAACAGTACCTTCCTATGACTAGTTCTAGTGGATTCCCGGAATTCCTGTTGCATAGAACAACAACAACAACCATGACAATTATAACAGTTAGTGCAAATACAGCTTAAGAATCAGAATGAAGAAATAAACAAAACCCAGAAATGGTAATTCTACCCTACGCACCTGAAAGAATGAAGCATTAAGCCAGCACATAGTTTGTGTGTGAAATCCACATTCACGTCAATCTTGGCTGTTGCCACAATAAGAAAAGCATGCGTGAAATAACAGCAACAACCACAAGAATAGCAATAATAATATGCATAGACCATTAATGGAGACAAGTACAAGCTTAGACTACCAGAATACCATGGGGAAGAAAAAAAGACGGACCTTTGCCGGCATGAATGCTCTTCTGAGCTCCCATAATAGTTATCCTCTGTTAAAGTTCATCATTTGAAAACTCAAACTCTTTCCAGCGGTTTGGCTCTTGAAGCAGTAGTGAGAAACATGTTTAAAACTGAAAAATAATAATATTGGCATGGAATGGAATCGCCAGTGCTTCAAGTTATCCCTTCCTTTGCGAAATGTTTTTTTCTCCGTTTTCTACTCTGCTTTTTGGCTAGTAGACTACATTGTCAAATATGCCGAAATACACCTCCATTACACCTTTAAATTTATAAAAAAAACACTAAAATGCATAAATAACACAATCCTCCACATCTTATCAGCCGTAATATTGAAATTTGTACAGTATTCATGTATTCTACTACCTCCGTTCTCTTTTAATTACAACATTGGACTTTTTGCATTATTCACATATTCTACTTTGACTATATTTTATTTATTAATGTACTATAAATTAAATTTTTAAAAAATATTGTTAAATTTTTCTCATTCTAAATTTTCAAAATATGAATTTTTTAAATTTTTTACTAATAAGGAATGACAGATATTAATGGTCAAACTTGTGCGTTGGCAAACGTGAACTGTTGACTGTTGCAATTAAAAGGGAACGGAGGAAGTATTTGACATTTATTTTTTTTTTAAAAAATATGTTAATTATTATTTTTTAAATATTGATGAATTCGTCTCATTATTGAATTTCATAATCTAATTTTAAAGAAAAACATAAAGAGAAAATGGTCAAATAGTCTCTTCCAAATAGTGTATATGATTACGGAAAACTAATACAATGTAGCTAAAATATATCCTAGGAAAGAAAAATTAGTAATACTACCTCCGTCCCAAAAAGAGTTGCAAATTTGACTTTTCTTAGTCAAACAGTCTTGTTTTGTTCACTTAATTAGGATGTCGATTTTTAATTATTTTCTAATTTGGAGTTTACAACTTTGAAGAGATTTTAATGTAGTTTTTGAATATGTAAATTTTAATTATTAAAAATTGAATTAATTATGCTTAGGGAGGGTTGACTTTTATTATTGGTTGACCAAAAAATATTGACTTTGCAAAACAAATTGGGACGGAGGGAGTATATATTTCCATAATTAGTACGTACAAGTAGTATATATTGTAGTATCCTTTTATGTGTAACATCGTGCTTTTATGGCAGCTATTACCTAGGAGGTCGAGCTCGGAAATTATGAAGAAGCCGACTTGAATGGGACATGGTCTCTTCAAGACTTGCTCCTATGAGAAAAGAAAAATGTTTAAGGTACACAAAATGTGTACACATTTTGTGTACAATAAGTTGTCTGTGAGAGATAACTTGTCTGTGAAGGACAGACATGTGTACACAAAAATGTGTACACATTTTGTGTACCTTTAGCAAAACTCATGAGAAAAACTCATGTACTACAAATGAGTATACAAAACCAAGTACAAAAGTGATGACCAATCGTATGTGAAAGAGCGCCACATCATATGTGAATCCCGACAAGTTGAGGTGACTGCCATCATGAGACCTTTGCTCATGTTTCTAGAATGATGGTTGTTCAATGCATACTATTCTCACCGTCATAGCATTCGGGGACCTAGAACTTCATTAAACGGACATTGACAATGTATTTCTTCACGATTATCTTATTGAAGATGTATCCTCCACATGGATACATCGTTTGATAT